ATTTCCCCTTAGTGTATAGAATTCAGATAACTAAATGACACATCTGATAGCTATATCTAAATGTTTCAAGACACATAAAAAAATGCAAGTGATGCTTGGAAACCTAAATAGTCTTGCACCACCCCCACTTAACAGATTATTAAAAATGACAGATTCAGCGAACAAGAGTTTTTTTAAATGTTTCGTTTTCGATATTGCGTGGCTATTCCGCAGTACCTTCACCACTGCAGATGGTAAGCAGTCGGCACAACTTGGTGGGTTAAGTTCCTTTGAGGGGAGTTGAGTCAACATTTGATCCGCGAGCCTTTCACAATCCTCTCTCAGCGAAGTAGACAGAGCGGCACAGACCTTACTGAAGAAAAAGCCAAGGCCTACCTGAGGATATACGAAGGCCTCTGATTAAAAAAAAATACTGCTCACAGTGAAATGATTGCTGCAACTTTCTTATCCTCTGTATTGAAATCATACTCAAGTATATTTAACTGTTTTCGAGTTTGCATAATCACCAGGATATACATGTAGTTGGTTTAACGATTTGCCCATGTGCAGATCGACTTCAGTGAACGCAGCCGAATCTAATTTGCCTGACAAGGGTGCGGATTATCCTCAAGGAAAATAAGTAGGAAAATTTCAAATCCGTTAGATAGCATTACAGAGGTTGAAATCGAAGTTGGAATGATACTGAATTACGATTGTCTTTAACAAATGGGTAGTAGGACGATTGTAGCTATACGTGCTGTTTCCACATATAGGATATCCATAAAGGTATACATTAGTGTCACTTATCGTTATACAAAAGGCTGGGAAGTGATAGGTTGAAACCCGCCTCAGTTTCGTTAGCAATATGTGCATCCAGCCACTTGAAGACAACCACTCAGATCTGGCACCAATTCACAGAATTTGCTCCAGGGGTACCGTCAGCACCATTTTCTAGTTTCTTGGGTTCATATCTTGCCTATCAATGAAAAACAATACATGTGTGATTTTAAAAGAAACACGGATTTGGTGGCTAATTGGGTTATCTTTCAGTTCGGGATAATGTTTCAAGTTGTTATACTGTTCAGCTAAAGTTTGGATCGTGTCTCTAACAGGAGAACTGTAGCATAGCCGTCTTGAATTTCGTGGCCAAATGAAGATCTAAATGCGTAAACTTTGTGGATTCTTTGAACATGTAGAAGTACACAAAATATTACGGAAGCGTATATAGGACAGGACTGAAAAATAACTTCTGCCTGCAATTTCGCCCGAGCGGATTACTATTTCGCCTGGGTGGAATAGTATTTCCTGGGATGCTAATCAGCTCCGGGCGAAATAAGTAATCCGCCCGGGCGAAAAAGTAATCCGCCCGGGCGAAAAAGACGACAGTAAAATATAGAGACAAAGATAAGAGTATGCCCAGCACCTGTTGTCAACGTTTATGCGTTCCGTCTGCGATCACGTGCGCGTAAACATTAGCGTGTTACGTTTTTTCGCTTGAACCGTTTTCTTGGTGTGTTCATTTAGCTTCCACGTGTTAACTTGGATTTAACCTCGTCCCAACCTTCTCTGACACAACACACACAACCATCCCCAGACGGGTGGATCATGGACATTTGATTTTTTGCTCGGCGGTAGGCCTAGGTGGAAAAATTTCGTCCGTACAAGAGGGAGGGGTTTACTATACATGTAGTTGTTGCTGTTGGTAGAGCCATTAAATTCTTCACAGGCAAAATAGCACCCAGATTGTTTGTGCTTTTTTAAAAAATAAATATAAAGGATCTTCCAAGCTTTAGACGTAGGTAAAAAAAAAGGAAAATACACAAACACTCACCCTGTGTGGGAAACGTCACATTATCGTGGAAACGTACCAAAAATGTAAGTAAAAGCAAAGCAAAACAAAAGGACAATGACAAGAACTATAACATAAAACCAAATGAGCCGCAATATAAACGTTTGGTGTTTCTTTTCAAGATTGCCGTGGACTGCTCCACTCTTTGCACCTAGAACAAAATGAAGCGAAATGCACAAGCTCGAGTGAATATACAACTCCAATATACATGGAATCAAAATTGTGGTAAACGACAGGGATGGTGCAAACTAATATTAGAGTTTATATATGTTCCGGGTGTAACGTTAAGAAATATTGTTTACATACATTTTGAGTTTCTTTATTTAATTAAATCAAATAACCTGAACCCAATGAGTGGACAAAAGTTGTCATGTATCCATTGAACATGAAAATGCCCCAAACAAGAAAACAGTTTTAAGTGTCATTATTTAATTAGGCCTATGCTTTGGTTGTTACGGTGCCAAACGAGTCTTCTGTAAACCACATATTGACAAGTAACACTACCATATTTGTTGTCCTATAAATTTTCAAATGCAGGAAATTCATAAGTTTGTCAAGAAGAAAAATGGCAGGATTTTACAGTGTTTCTCAGTCTACTCTCGTGGAATATCAGGTCTGAGCAGTTAAAATGCACTTTCGAGGCGAACTTTGCAATATCATGGCTTCTAATCTGAAGTTGTTGCAACTATGATACGGCTCTCCACGAATACACCTGTACAAAATAATGTGTTGATAATGCACACTGCATGCATACCGTATCTCTCTCGATCTCTCATTAATATAGGCTCAGAATTCTTTATTTTTCCCCAGCGTCGGAACCCAGATTCCATCCCTTCAATATTCATGGATCCCAGCATATCATTTTTTTTTAGAAACCATTGACATAGACCAATACAGCTTATGCTTTAAAAAATAATCGAAATTACGCCAACTCATTCCATATTCACAACAGGTTAAAGGCACATCGAAAAACAATTAAGGCAAGACTGTTAAGGCTCAATCAAACCAACGTGTGAGGTATCAACCCATAAAGGCAAGTGCTATCCATTTACTCGTCCGTGGTGTTGTATTGCGTTTCAAGAAACAATGAAGATTAATCTCAATTTTCACAAAGTCAAACGTATACATTACCCAAAAATTAGCAGGAAAAGCAGCAGGCAAAAAGTAGTGAGTGTCAATTTCATTAAGGCCATGTCCTCTTATCAGTCTTGTCCAAAAAACGTGATAAACAACATTTTGTATAGACACAGACAAAAAAGTAATCGGCAGTGATGATAAACATCAACTTGAAATTAAACGTCTAATGCATTTTCTGGCTTATGATGACCAAGCAGCTTGCAGTGTGAGAGCAATATAACTTGGAAGTGACCTCGATCGTATTGAAAAAGATACCCCCAACAAATTTACCCATTACAAAATACAAGCCAGGAAGGCAACTGCGATAAAATAAAATCCAGTAGGATCAACGGGCCATTATGAAAGCTTCTTGTGGACAAAAGCCTAATAATATTGCTGAACTATTTGTAGCAAAATTCCATTGGTTTTAACACATGTAACGTCAAACTTTCGGTTGTTCAACCCTCAGGATGGATTGTGCTTTCCAGGGGATTTAGATGTAACTTCAGTGACAACATCAATTATACTAGTTTTGTCACGTACGGTGTAACTGTTGCTAAGCCAATGGATCAAGGGGCGGAGAACAAAAGACAAAAAAGACCTCCATTGGCAAATGGCCATACGAGCCGGGCTGCTGAATGCTCGAACATGCCACGCAAGAATGACCGCACCTCTTGACAGGGCCATTCTTGGGCACCGTACAAAATTGCATCAGCCAAACGGAATTACACCCACGTAGTCCATGCTACTTTGACAAGCCCTCGTTGGATAGGAATGAACTGCACTATCATTGGATTTTCCGATTATTGCACTTACACGTGGAAAATGGCAGCGCCCACAGATGGTAAGATTTGCAGAAAAGCAACTACGCGTGTAATTGAACTAGTGAACTACCGTCATAAATCCACTCTGGTTCTGATATCAGGATATTAACCTGGCCAGTGTGTTATTGTTTCGGGGGGGGTGTTTTGTTCATCATCAGGACTGATTCCGTGCCACTGCCTGTCATAGTAGCGCCGCCCTCATTATAAGTCATAACAATGCCCAACCATCATGACCATACTACACCAGAGTACACGTACATGTACATGTAGACCTACTTTTAGAACTGAGAGTCATTACCCCTATACTACTCAATGTTACTTCATGCTTCAAGCCAATACAATTTACATTGGGTCGCAACGCCATGGGTTTTTAAAAAAAACGAACTTGATAGGTGAATGATCCACTGGTGGAACAAAGTTATTATACAGTCAATCCAATTTTCCTGTGACAGTGATTTGAGTAATCAGGGTAATAGTACCATGTGTCTATAGACTCTAGACATGCAAGAGGGGCTGCATGGAGCACCCTCACAGAGGGCATGTTTGTTATTTTGATTTAGAACCCTAGGACAATGAACTACTAACTATACATGTAGGTCTACTTAAGCATATCACACAGGAGCAAAGACTTGTCCTCTGTGAACAGGTCAGGCACCAAACCACAATCTACTCCTAACAACGCCCCTAGTCTTAAAAAGGGGAGAGGACAAGGTTTGAGAGTGTGAGATCGAGTAGGCACTGAGACTGAGATTAGCCGCAGAGTGGGGCCAGTCTACTGGACTCCCTCTGTATCCTTAGCCCTACACCCAATCTAGAAAAATATGGAGCTTTGTGAAAAAGCTTCCTTTGAGCTCCATATTTCTCATACAGCATCACTCACCCAAGCTGGTCATTAATTCACCACTTTGGCCATTTCCTGATCGTTTTTGTTCATGAAATTGTCGTTTCTATGTTGGTGTTGCAACAGTGCCATTCGTTACTACAGTGATTCACATCACTGCCAAAACTTGCACAACCCCAGTAGTTGATGATCTTGGAGAGCATTAACGAACAGCACCTACATGTACAATACTGTACATGTACTTCTTGGAGTACTCAATACAAGAACAACATGAAAAATGATATTGCCTTTGCCCTCCAGAACGAATAGATTCATGTTTAACAAATCGAACACACCCAATTCTTGGTGTCACCTGTATATGTATGTACATGTATATTATTCTTGAACAAATTTCCCCTCAGCTAAGAAGAGGAACCAACCCCTCTGGGAACCTCCTAGTGGAGATGGCTGCCCTAAGCTTCACCTGTACAACAGCCTGACAAGGCGGAAGGAACCATTTGTGCCACAGGAGGGCAAGAAAGTGGCATGGTATAGTTGTGGTCCAACGGTGTATGATGCCTCTCATATGGGACATGCTAGGTACCAAGACATCTTTCTTATCTTTTCATTATTTTAAACAATAGACAACCTTTTCTTGCACAATGGCAATTTCCAGTGAGCATATCCATCTTCAAATGGTCAAACACTTTGAATTTGATAGCTTTTCCCACTATCAGTATTTTGAAAACAGAAACACTTCAGCATACATGTTTTTCCTTGGAACCAGAAGTACATGGACCTGTAGATCAGTGGTACATTTTACCAACATTTCAGTACCCTGAGAATAAAAAATAAAAACTGACTTTTCATGTATTCAACTCAACACTCCCAGATCCTTCAAAACCCATCAGAAGGTTTCAAGGATTATGCAAGGTTTACAAAGTCAACTGCATAACTTGTGCTTGACTGAACGTTCAAGTGGGCAGAGTGTCTCATTGATTTCTTGCACAGTACAGTGTTCAGAAAATTTCCTGGAGCAAATGTCCTTTGAGATTTCCATTTCCATATACATGTAAAGCGTTATCCTTGGTAAGTGGGTAAAGCTACCTGCATGAGTTGTACTCAACATTGACAAGTTAATTTTCTTCAGTGTACATGAAGTTAAATTTGTTCTTAATTCATTAACCCTAACTG